GCTCGTGCTCATAGGTTCTGAGCTCATCAAGAAGACCTTGAACAGTGTAGTTCTCCAGATTTCTTCCTTCTTCCATGGCTGTGGCTTTGGTGTACCACTCAGTTGGAAGAGATCTTAGCAACCTTACATTCTTTTCTTTGGGAGAAAGAACGTGGTTAAGTGATGCAAGATCATTCAAGATTTTGTGGAATCTTTCATCGAGCATATCAAATGATTCTCCGGGAAGCATTTTGAAGCCTTTGAACTTCTCAAGCAGGACTTCTATCTTCTGCTTTCTCAAGTCCTCTAAACCCTCACATAGCTTCCCAAGACCTTGCCATATCTCCATGGCAGTCTTGAGGTGTTTAATTTTGGAGAAGGTGATGGGGTCAAGTGTCTTGAAGATGGCTGCTTTGGCGACGTTATCCAGATTGTGCTTTTTGCAATCTCTATCATCCCATTTTTCCTTGGGCTTTGGAATGTACTAGACTACGTCTGGAGTTGCTGGATTCTTCTCAGGATTCTCCATTTGAATTTTCAAGGGTCCATCCTCAAGCACCATCCACATGCAATCATGTAGAGCGTAGAGGTGTGCTTCCATCATGATCTTCCAATCATCATAACCTAGAAGAGAAAACTTGGGCAAACCGTGATCCATATTGTTCACCCTTTTGATCGCTTCTCGTTAATCTAAATGTAGATAGTGAGAAGACTGCTCTGATACCAATTGGTGGTCCCAAAGTGGTGAAATACAAAGTCTAGAGGGGGGGGGGGTGAATAGACTTTGTTACAAGTTTAAAATCTTTTTCGTTTCTTTTGAAAACGAGAAAATGAGTGTTAATCTAGAGTCTTTGTGAACTTTAGATTGTGTGCGGAATTTGGTGGGTGGAGTGAGCAGTAATATGGATAGGTTAGTTTTCACAGTTAATATAATTGCAAGTAAGAATAAAGATAAGAGAGAGAGACACGCAAACTTTAACGAGGTTCGAAGGTGGGGTAATCCTTCTACGTCCTCAAAATCCACTATGTAGTTGGTTGTTCAACAGTTACACTTGTGTGAATTTCTGCACGGTATATCTTCACAAGACCAATGTTGCTATTGCACTCGTGCTGGCTTTGTTGTTCCTTCGAAGGTCAAGCTTCTTCAACAACTGCAAGATCCGAACAATAGGACTTGCAAGATCAACTTGTAAGAGAGTTGACCTACCCCCTTTTAATCAATAAGTTTGATCAAAAGTAATATCCTTCAACGTGGTGTGGTGCTTGAGGCAAG